ATTTGCCCCGTGTGATAACGTCCTAGGTTCTTCAGTGTGACTTTTATTTAAGTTGACCATAGAGTTGTGCTGGAAGACCTAGATATTCCTAGAGAAAACATATTAATAAAATCTGTGAATAATCAAATCTGCAAAAGTCAAAGCCACACATGTGGAGGGACGAGTATACTTTCAAAACATAGATTTGCAATATATTTAATCTTATTTTCCACCCCTCTCCCCCCGCCCCTGGCCTGGCATAGTGGTTTGGGTGTTGGACTATAATGCTGGAGACCAGGGTTTGATTCCCTGCTCAGCCATGAAACCCACTGGGTGACCTTGGGCAAGGCACATGCTCTCAGCCTCAGGGGAAGGCCATACCAAACCTCCTCTGAACAAATCTGGCCAAGAAAACCTCATGATAAGCTCTCCTTAGGTTGGCCATAAGTCAGAAACGACTTGAAGGCACACAACAACAACAGCAGAGAGGGCAAGCAGCATGTCAATCCATTTTCTTGGAGCTGAGTGCAAGAACTGGAGCTGCAGAGGATCAATCAGCAGCTGCCAAATTGTTGTTGCTGCCAAATTGGGACACTTGGAGGTATGCTCCAGGGAGAAGTGAGGACTCAACTTTCTGCTGCAGCAAAATACTCTCCCTGTAACAAAGGGGAAAGTGGGAAGAGGAGGAGAGAAACTGGAACATTTTAAAAGTATCTAAAAAAGTGGGATAGCAGAGAATTAATGAGGACTGTCCCTGCCAAATTGGGATAGTTGGAGGGAATGTGTGCTGCTATGATCGAGTCTCGCTTGTGCTGAAAACAGAAAGTACAGTCTAGGCCACAAAGCTACCCATTGTACAAGGCTTGCCCCAGTTCTTGCACTCATCTCCAAGAAACTGGATTAACATGTTGCTTGTCCTCTCTGCTAGGAACAGTAGAAAAAGCCAGTCATTATGCCACACAGCTGCAGGCCTTTGATCTGAAAACAAATCAATCATCCCTCTCAAAATTGTTTGTGTTAATTACCATAATGCACCAGAGTTCGTTTGATATCTCAGTCTTGCAAAAAGAGAATTGCAACTTTTTTGTTTTAATTACTGTGCACCAACAAATATCTTAGACTCAGATTCCAATTTTGCAGCCCATTTAGATAGCATTTTTTTAAAAAAACAAACAAACCCTGTCTTAATTTTTAGCTGAACTGTACTCTCCTTGCCCCATCCTGTACTTGCAAGTTCTAGCAGACCTTTTCAGAGCAAATGTAATGTTATCCTTGGCAAAAATCTATCCTCCAATGAGTGACATCACCTTTGATCCCTCAGAGGCATTTTTTCATGTGGTTCTTAGAGAAACATTGAAATGCCCAACAAAGTGGGCAGGTTGATCCTATGGAGTTCAAATACAGCGTTAGTGGGCGGCCGAACATGTGTTTTCTGGCATATAAGACAACCCGGCGTATAAGACGACCCCCCATTTTCCAGTCAAAATATAGAGTTTTAGCACCTCTATCCTCCTTATCCTTATACCCGGCGTATAAGACGACCCCCCCCCACTTTAACCACAGATTTTGCAGGTTAAAAAGTAGTCTTATATGCAGGAAAATAAGGTATATGTGTTGCTTGGTATTAGTATTGAGTTCTTTAAGCGCTACCTGTGTTGTATGGGATCCTGCTTGGAGAAAAGCTGCTCCAACACAAAGGGGCCACTAACAGATTGTGGTAAAAGAGGAAATACATTGCTAAAAATGAAAGCAAAAGGCGACACAGATTTCCATGAAATCTGCATATGCATACACACAAAATCCCAAATACACCCTGGTTGCATCTGAAGCACAGAAACAATGCAGTTTGACACCACTTTAACTGCCATGGCTCAGTGCTGTGGAATTAAGGAATTTGTAGTTTTGTGTGATATTTAGCATTCTCTGTCAGGGAGCTCTGGTGCTGCAATAAACTACAAATCCCAGGATTCCATAGCATTGGGCCATGGCAATTAAAGCAGTGTTGAACTGCATTGTTTCTGCAGTGCAGATCCAGCCCTTCTCACAATATATCTCAGGGGGAGAGACTGTATGGTTATAATGGAAAACTGAAAGTTTATGGTCTTCTTTTACAGCCTTTTGTGTCCAGCTATAGGAAGGTAGCCAGGTGCTTTTCCAACCTTGTCCGCTTACCATGGAGCAAGGAATGTCATACAGCAGTAGCGTTCCCACACCGGGTGATACCCAGTGCAGGGGGCGGGGCTTCTGAGGAAGCGGGGCTTCTATCCCCGGACTTCCGGCAGGGCGCCACTTCCAGCCCCGGACTTCCGGTGGCGTTTCCGGTAGGGGGGGCAGCCCAAAAAGGCTCTACATGGGGTGTAGGCCACCATAAAAGGCCCTGTGCTGGGCCTAGGCTGCCCAAAAAGCCTCCACGTGGGGCCTAGGCCACCCGAAAAGCCTGCTCAGTGGTTAAATGCCTGGTGGCGCAGTGGTTAAATGCCTGTACTGCAGCCACTCACTCATAAACCACAAGGTTGCGAGTTCAATACCAGCCAGGGCTGAAGCTTGACTCAGGTCTGCATCCTTCTGAGGTCGCTAAAATGAGTACCCAGCTTGTTGGGGGGCAATCAGCTCACAGTTGTAAACCGCTTAGACATCCCATAGCATGATATGAAGTGGTATATAAATAAGCTGCTTTGCTTTTTGCTTTGTAAGCTGCCCAAAAAGCTTCTGCACAGGACCTTGGCCGCCTGAAAAGGTCCTGAAACAGTGCCCATGCGGGCAGGGAGCCAAACTAATGTTACCCCACTACTTGGTTGTCACCCACCTTCTGGGATGTCACCCGGTGCAGCCTGCACCTCTGCACCTCCCCAGTGATGCTACTACCATACAGTGTAACTTTAGGGGCTTTACAGGAAGTCTGGGAAAGTTATATGGCTTAGCTTAGCATAGGTCTATATGTGGATGCTGAAGGGATGATGAGGGGATGATGAGGGGATGATGAACCACCCTGGATCCCATTGAGGTCCATGTATGTCTTCCAGCACTTACATTTACACACACATGCAGAGGCTGAGCCTCCCTTATCCAGAATTCCAAAATCCAAAATATTCTGAAATCCAAAATTGAGATGGTGACACCTTTGCTTTCTGATAGTTCAACATACACAAACATATGTTTCATGCATAAAATGATTTAAAATATTGTGTATAAAACTACCTTCAGGCTATTTGTATAAGGTATATGGAAAACATAAATGAAGGTCATGTTTAGACTTGGGTCCCAGCTCCAAGATATCGCAACATGTGTATGCAAATATTCCAAAATACAAAAAACTCTGAAATTCAAAAAACTTCTGATCTCAAGCATTGTGGATAAGGGAGACTCAACTGAAAAGCACTCTTGGAAATCTGAAATTGAAAACAGGTGAATGGGCATTTGCTTTATCCTTTCCCTTCCTGCTATTAGTGCACTCATAATTATTCCATCAAATTGCTTTTTACTTAATGAGAAAAAAATGATCCCTGCATAAATTAATTAAATATTAACGATCAGGATTTGATTTCCTACTCAACCATGGAAAACCATGTTGACCTTGGGTGAGTCACATACTCTCAGCCCCAGAAAACCCTGTGATAGGTTTGCCTTAGGGTCGCTATAAGTCTGAAATTACTTGAAGACCCAACACAACACAACAGCAGCAGCAACAACAACAACAACACATCTGAAATGACCTGCTCTGAGCTATAATAACTCACTCCCTTCTTCATAGTATACCTCAGGGATTGGGAACATGTAAACCTCCAGCTGGTTTTGGACTATACCTCCCATCATGCCTGTGCCTTAGCTATGCTAATGGGAATTGCAATCCAGCAACATCTTGTCCCCGTCAAACATCTTGGGATGTCCTGGGTCCTATGGTCCTGCCAATGCTCACCCCTTGCCTAGCAGTCATTGGGGTACATTGCTATCTATAGGCTCAACATGAAGAAAATTAGAAGGCTGGGGATGTCCCCAAATACCTTGAACTGTGTTCTGGAATTTATTTCACTCCTCTTTGCGTAGTATGCCTGGATTTTCCTAAAGGGCAAATCGGAGCATCGCTACATCATCTATCAGCAAACCATCTCAAGGTGAACCTGCCAAATAATAATAATAAATCTCCACATTCGTTTTAGCAAATATGTGTGGAGTATTTCATTTAGCTGCTCCAGCTCTATGTTTTTGTCCTCAGGCTCATTGTGGAGCTGGATTGTGCTGGGAAGAGGGATACACCCTTATCTGATGGCTTTACAGTACATTATTACACAATAACCTGTTATTATGTTATTGTTTTTTGTCTTTCATAGTACTGTCCCAAGGCTATAGGAGCTTTTATAAATGAAGTGCTTTTTTTTCTTAAGAAAAGGAACTTTCTATCAGCTACAAAACTATTATGTATGATATTAATCTGCAAATCTCTGCTTTGAGCCCAATTACTAAAGAGAAGGGGGTTGTTTCTGGAGATATTACCTTTGTAGCTTATTTAATAATGAAAAAGATGCTGCAGCAAAGTTAAGCACGACTGCATTAATTTGTTTTCCTGGGGCTAGTTTATAATGCCTCCCTGCCAACTCTAGAAGGTTTTTAAAAGTTGCATTTAGGATGTACATATGAATAAATTTTTCACATTCCCAATCTGGTGCACACTGTCTGGCTTGACATTAAGGTTGCTCCTGTGTGTTTTTGTATCAATAATAATAATTATTATTATTTCTTACCTGCCTCTACCCATGGATCAAGGTGGGGAACAACAACAGACCAACAAATATACATCAGTTAAGAACACAGCATCGTTAAAATGTACATCAGTTTAAAAGAACAAACAAAACACATACGTATTGAAGTAATCTACATTTAAAATTCATCATTTAAACTTTACAGTTTTAAAAATCAGCTGGATAGGTCTGCTGGGAAATTTTTGATCCAGTCCTGGATCTTCAGTCCAGGATCAGAACAGAGCTCAATTCTTCAAATTTTGTGATGCAAGTTGATTCAAAATTTGTATATAAAAAGGCATATAAGAGGGAGAAACTACATAGAAAAGGCATGTATTAGGGAAAGTAGTGTAGAAAAAATATCATAGGTAAGTATTTTACACACACAAAAAGGCAGATGGATGAGGAAATTAGATGCAATGGATGTACCATTAAATCCGAAGTTAGAAAAGTTACAGTACTTTTGTTTGGATTACAGCTCCCAGAATCTCTGCATGAAGAATTCTGGGAAGTGTAGTTTGAAAAAGTAACTTTTTCACATTATGTGACTCAATCCATGTGAACCTAATGTAGACCAGATAGAGAATGTTTTGTCCATTCCTAGATACAATGATACTTCCTAGGACCAGACACCTAGAGATCATCCACACTGCAGAAATAAACCATTTTGACACCACTTTAACTGTCATGGCTCAGTGCTATGGAATCCTGGGATTTGTAGATGGTTGTGGCACCAGAGCTTCCTGATAGAAAAGGCTCAATGTCTCACAAAACCACAGTTCCCAGAATATCATAGCACTGAGCCATGGCTGTTAAAGTGGTGTTGAACTGGATTATTTCTGCAGTGCAAATGCAGCCCTAAAATTTGAGCCAATTGTTTCTTGCTGGGCCAACACTCTTTTCAGAGTTTGGTACATTCATTTGTAATTAACCATCCAATCCTTTTGTTCTTGTGCACTGTGCAAATGCATGTGTCTCAGTCAAGTCTATTTCTGCCTGCTACACTCTTCTCCAATTATTATTTTTAACGTTTCCCAATAAATATTAATTGAATTGTTAGCAACCTGATCCTTGGCAACTGGTATATAAAACTGGGTTTGATGCACTTGAGTCACAATAAGACCACATTACTTAAGAATAATTCCTAGTTAAGTGTGTTCCGAAACAAAGCACTGACATGTTCACATTAAATATTAGGTAAAAAATGACACTTTTATGGCACGGTGAATCATTTCCCCGGCTCCATAATGGCGTAACTCTCTTTTGCCCACTCACCTGGCAGAAGCAGAGACATGCTGGCTGGGGGATTATGGGAGGTTTTATATTCTAAGATCTGAAGAAGCTAATCTCAAAATGAAATAGGGTTAGTCTCCTTTCTTCAGAACTCCAAAATCTGAAATATTCCAAAAACCAAAACTTTTTTCCTAGGTGGCTGGGATAGTGACACCTTTGTTTTTTGATGGGTTAATGTACACAGACTTTTGTTTTATGAACCAAAATGTATAAAGTGTAGATGAATTTTATGTTTAGACTTGGGTCCTATCTCCAAGATATCTTATTATGTATGTATGTAGAGTCAGCATGGTCAAGTGGTTTGAGCATCAGACTATGACTCTGGAGAACAAGGTTCTAATCCTGCTTGACTACAGAAACCCACTGGATGACCTTGGGCAAGACACACACTCTCAACCTCAGAGGCTGGCAAACCACCTCTGAACAAATCGTACCAAGAAAACCCCATAATAGGTTTGCCATAAGCTAGAAATGACTTGAAGGCACACAACAACATGTATATGCAAATACAGATATTCCAGAATCCAAAACACCTCTTATTCAAGCATTTTGGATAAGGCAACTCAACCTATATATACACAAATGAAAATAATCAGAACAGCATTGTTATTTTTAGGAAGGGTTTCCAGTTCAACAACTATCCCAGGCCCTGAAATCTCAGAACCAAAAAGAGAGATTTAGGAACCACCTCTTGTGATGATATAACAGGAGGCAGGCCCTGATGATGTTTCAAGCATGGTGTTACAAAGAGCAACCTCTGGTTAAACATCATAGAGTCGGCCCTTCATATTAATGGATTCTTTATTCAAAGATTCAACCATCCACGGCTTGAAAGTATTCAAAAAAATACATAGATTCCAAGAAGCAAACCTTGGTTTTGCCGCTTTATAGAAGGGATACTCTTTTACTATGCCATTGTATTTAATGGGACTTGAGCATCCACAAATTTTAGTATCCATGGGAGGTCCTGGAACCAAACCTCAGCAGATACCAAGGGCCCACTATAGTAGTGGTAGTAGTAGTAATAATAATAATAATAATAATACCCCATTGGATTTAATGGGACTTGAGCATCTACGAATTTTGATATCCATGGGGGTCCTGGAAACAAGCCCCAGTGGATACCAAGGGTTCACTGCAGGGTATCTCCTTCAAATAACTGTGCAGGGTATCTCCTTCAAATAAAACAGACAAACCCCAAACCTAGCAAATGAGGAAAGAATATGTACATAAAACTTTTAAAAGCAGGGCTCTTGCTTTGAGATTCCTTCCTCTCCTCCTGAGAAGATGAGTGGTCAGACCCTGAGATCTGGGAACACTATATCTATATCAGGGAACGTTCTATATCCTTTCACAATGAATGCTAACTTTCAAAACACCCACATGTAACTTGGACACTCCCAGTATGTACGAGAGCCATTGCTGGAAGTGGGAAATGGATGGATGCAATGGGTTCCCGCTCTTCCCAAGGGTATCTTTGTTTTATCAAAGAGATAAGTGATATTCCAAAATATTCCCCACTCAAGTCTATCTTGAGAAAGCAAGTAGGCTGTGGCTACGATGCTTTGTTTGGTTTGTGGCTGGGCTAAGAGCATGCATCCAAAAACAAAGATAAACACTGTGCTGGGGAAGAGCTGGGGATGTTTTGGCACCATAGAAAGAAGAGCTAAATATAAGGGAGGCCCCATGTGAGTTGATGGCATTCTGAAAACCAGACGACTAGAGGAAAGCAACCTTCAAGCTTAGGCTCAGCAGCTCAAGGATGAGGGCTGAAAAATATCTCGGAGTGGTTTGTAACAGTTGGAGCCTCAGAAACAGTCAGCCATGCCCCTGAGATTACACATAATTAGCTGTGTGGGAAGCCTTCTTTTCCGCAGTTCAGCCCACACTGTTCCTTTGTGAAAAGCCTTTTCATTAGCTGAGCTGAAGAGACGTGCAGGGCAACACTCATCCACAAACGCCAACAGCAAAAATAATGTCATATCTGGGAGCAACGGAGCCAGGATCCACCAAGACGGTTTGGGTTCTCCTGATGACTATCCTCTATCTGGTTTCCCTCATTTGGGATACCTCCCAAATATGTATCCACAGAAGGACTTTTCACATACAACCATTTTGATGTGGTAACACCATGGTTCCCAAGAGCTGACTTCTTAGTCAAGATACTTTAATTTTTTTTTCAAGCAAACATAGTGAAAGGTTTCTTCTACTCTATGATTGTATGATTGTACGAATTGCCCTGGAGTGTGGGCTGGGTCTGGGTTCCACCCATTTTGACCCTGTGCATTGTCTAAACAGGTCAGTGGGAGAACGGAGCTAGAACATTTCTTTTCTTCCTTGCAGACACCACCGTAGTCTATTAAATTTTTGCAACTAATTGTTGAAAAACAGCCATGAAGCCCATTACCAGTAGAAGAAATAGCATGTTATGAGTAATATTTTTACTTTATAAAATTTCAGAGCAGACCATTTATCATTGTTGTTAGTAGTAGTAATAGTAATAGTAGTGTCCCATTTTCCTCCAAGAATTGGGATTGAAGGCAGTTTACAGTTTAAAAGAGCAATACAGTAAAACAACCCCCATGGAGTCTATTTTCAGCCACAAATAATAAAAATGTGGGGGGTTGGAAAAAAATTGGAAAACAAGAGTGGGGAAGTCGAGGCATGGAGGAGGACCTGCATGCGCCTGTGGATCACACTATCGCCACCATGATTATAGAGAATCCTGAGCATGTACAGGAAACATTAAACAAGTAGAGCAGGGGTAGGCAACCTTTTTGAGCCGGGGGCCGAGTTGCTGTCCCTCAGACAATTGGGGGGCCGAAGCACCAAAAATAAATAAACAAATAAATAAATAAATATTAAAAATTAAATATTAAAAAAATTTAAAAAAAATTAAAAAATATGCATGCACACTCTCTCAGCCCCAGAAAAGCCATGGCAAAACCCCTGTGGAGATTTTGCCAAGAAAACCCGAAGAACAAGTAATAACAACAATAATCAACATCATCATGGCAGGTGGCGGCGGCGGCGGTGGCGGCAGGATCGGCCTGGGGCCAGTCCAAAGGCCTCAGGGGGCCGCATCCGGCCCCCGGGCCTTAGGTTGCCTACCCCTGAAGTAGAGAGTCTAACTTACCATTTCTCTTAACTCATATTATTCTGTCCTGTGACTGAGGAATTGTAAGCAGTTTTTGTTAAGTTCACATTGAAAATTTTGTGAATTATGAGACAACCCCTTAGGAAAGAAGGCAGTTGCTTTTGTCTGGTTTCCCTTTCCTTTCTTGTTGTTTTCAGTTTCACCAGGTTAGCAAGTAGGAAGAGGCATCCCTGAGTTCCCATAAAGTTCTCACCTTCTTACGGGAGGAGTTGCAGAATCATTATACTTACTGTAACAGTAAAGGAGAAGAGTTGGAACTTTGTGTTCCCGGCTAACAGTTACATAGGCTACAGAAGTAATTACTGAGGCTTAAAAAAAACAACAACACCACACACACACAGAGCTATAAAACCTCGCCCTACTAATGGTACAAACCAAAATCTCATTGGAAAGGATTCTCGACATCAGAAAACACACTCTTTCCTAACCCCCTTTACTGCTTCCCAGAAGAACGTTTCTCATGGTAAAACTAAACCAATCTTTGTCAAATTCTGTCTTTATTTTTGTTTTCTGTTTCTGTTTCTTTTAATTTTTAATTTTATTTATGCTTAAAAGAGTCCTCAATTACATAAGTAATGCTCCAGGATAACAGCATGCTGTAAGTCAGGGGTAGGCAACCTTTCCCCTTTAAGGGCCGAGGGACTTCAGCTCCCAGAAGCCTCAGCCATGTTGGCCAATAGTCCCATGTTGGCCAATAGATCCTGGGATTCTGGGAGCTGAAGTCCCTTGGCCCTTAAAGGGGAAAGGTTGCCTACCCCTGCTGTAAGTGGTTTCAGCATTGAACTATGACTCTGGAGACCAGGGTCTCGACCATGGAAACCCACTGGGTAATTTGGGCAAGTCAGACGATGTCACGGGGGGTGTAGGGGGTATGGACCACACCAGGTGACACCCCAGAGGGAGTATACCCAGAGGGAATGGCATGGCTACTGGGTGAACGAGAAATGGAGTCATCATTCCTCACTCACACAGCAACCACAACAGGCCAGAATGGACCCTCTGGAGGCCTCAGCACTTCTGCCCTCAAGAATGGGAAGGGTGGTCCCTTCCATTCAGAGTCCTGGTACATCTGCTGGATGAGCAGCTGCACCGGACCCTGAACAGGACCTCTGCAAGCTCAACACCATCCCCTTCAGCAATGGCCTCTGCTGGGGAGGGCATGCCTTCAGAGTCCAGCATGGCTATACACACTCTGCACTCTGAAGGTCCAGTGCATATATAGCAAAGCAGTCATACTGGACTCTGAAGGCCGTTGCTCAGGGGAAGTGCCTTCTAAATCCGCTACGGCTACTCATGCAGCAGCCACCCAGACTCTGAAGACCACTGCTGCGATTGGAGGTGTGTGTGTGCGCGCCTTCCGTTCAGTGTTCGGAGCAGTGTCTGGGCGAGCTTCTGCACTAGACCCTAAACAGGCCCTCCAGAGGCCACAATACTATTCCCCTCAGAAGTTATCTGGGTGGGTGAGTGGGTGGCCAGCCTGGGGAGGGGAAAGGAGAGAGGACACTCCACTGCCCCACACCAGGTGACACCAACTGCAGCAATGCCACTGAGCTCCAGCAATATCCACTGATATATTCACCTCGGGGTCACCCTAAATCAGAAACGACTTGAAGGCACACAACAACATTTCAAAAGCAAGACAATAAAAAGACAAGAAGAGGAAGAATAATAACCACATTCGTCTCAAGTTTCTATAAAACCTACCCAATTGATAAACATAATGCCATTTGTAAGTCTATACATCATTCATTCAAATTTATCAAGTTTTGTTAGATTAATCACAGGTGGAGGTGGAGGTAACAGTCAAAAGAGTGCAAAAAACCCACTTCCATTGCCATTTGTTAATTTCCAAGAAACTGGTAAATAATTCAAAATGAGAAGTCGTAGGCTTTCATGGCTGGCCTCCATAGTTTTTTATGAGTTTTTCAGGCTGTGTGGCCATGTTCTAGAAGAGTTTCACCAGCATCTGTTTCACCAGCATCTGTGGCTGGCAATGCCAGCCACAGATGCTGGCGAAACTTCAGAAAGAAACTCTTCTAGAACATGACCACACAGCCCGAAAAACCCACAAAAAAACCTAATTCAAAATGACATGCACATCCTTGGATATCAAGGAACTTTCCAATACTAAATTCACTTGTGTGATATACTGAAGGCCTACTGTACACCCAAATAAGTAATAGCACATGGGCAATATT